TCAGGGCGAGCTGTTGATCGAGACGGACTTCATCGAGAAGTACAGGCATGAAGCACGCGTCGTGCTGACATGTGCTACCGCACCAACAACGACCATGATGGTGGCCCTTGTACATCACAGCCCCGACAACCGTGGGGAGCACGAAACAGACGCTTGGATTTTTTTGTCCAGCGATCCGAACCATGACTTCGACTTCCATCACGCAGCGATGGAGGTCGTTGTTGCGCACTACACGACGGGACCGAAGTCTGCGGCCACCGCTGGGAGTGCGGCCCCACGAGTGCACATGTTTACGGACGGGTGCGGCAAGCAGTACAAGGGGAAGCGGAACTTTCGAGCAGTGGCGCAGAGCCTGAGGAGGCTTGGTGTCCGCATTTTGCACAACTTCGCCGTCACTTCTCACTTCAAGGGCACGCATGATGGCATCGGGGCGCTCATGAAGCGCCTACTTCGGAACGCGGAGATGCATGGCACGCGTATCCCCGACGTCGACGTCGCGCACGAGTTTCTTCTAGGCTACGCCGTGGAGGCGGACAAGGCGCGTGAAGGCCACTTCACAACCTGGTCCCCTTACCGGATCAAGAGCTTCGAGGTCAGGAAGTTTGGCCCCAAGGAAATTCCTCGCCCACCGATAGATCTGACGGGGATCCCTGGAAGTTCCAAGCTGTACTTTTTCACGGGAACAGAGGACGAGCAGGAGGACGTGCAGGATACCTTTAGTCTTGTGTGGGCTACTAGTGTGGGGGTGCAGACAGACGATTTTGTGGTGGGAGCGGCCGGAGACAAGGTGTTGACGGCTAGGAAGTGGGTGGTAGACGAGTCCAGGGCAAGGAAATGGGCCGCCCCCAAGAAGTTCACCAGATCTTGGAAGTTGCGGGTTCGGGGCGCATCGTGCTACTGCTCGACTTGCCGAATAGGCTGCTACGGTGACTGCATGGTAGCGAAGGTGTACCCCGACTTGGTTGGCGAGGTGATGGAGAAGTCGGGAAAAGAGATGGTTGGGAGACGCACGCTTGGGACTCAATTGACCGGCGTTATTCTTCCGGTCATATCTTCGGACGAGTCCCCAGTGGCGCCTACGCTTGACGAGAGCATGGGGGAGGTGGGTGGGGGAGGGGAGAAGGAAGATGAGGGAGAGGAGGAGGACGATGAGGGGGAGGAGGAGGAGGAGGAGGAGGGGGAGGAGGAGGGGGAGCGGGAGGAAGCGCAATACGTAAGCTCAAGAGGTCGCGTAAGTATCGCGAAGAAGAGGTTCCCGGAGGTGGGCTAGGGATGGATGGATGTGTTGGCTGCCAACCACAAGAATGGAACTCGTCGACGTTTGTTGTTCTTCTTGCTTTTTCTGGTGTGGTGTCGAACGCAACGTTTGCAAGTATTGTGCGCTACCCTTTACTCTTGGTGGTAATAATATGGGCAAATCCCCGTTTTGTCCCCGGGGGGGGACACAAATTTCGTGTCCCCTGGTGGGAAGTGGCCAGTAAAATGTGCAAAAACTGTAGGGTTTGTTCTACCGGAACAACGGCCTAAAAAGTGCATAAAATGGGCAAGATATGGGCAAATCCCCGTTTTGTCCCCGGGGGGGGACATGAAGTTCGTGTCCCCTGGTCGGAAGTGGCCAGCAAAGTTTGCAAAAATTGTAGGGTTTGTTCTACCGGAACAGCGGTCAAAAAAGCGCTTAAAATGGGCAAGATATGGGCAAATCCCCGTTTTGTCCCCGGGGGGGGACAGAAAGTTCGTGTCCCCTGATTTGCGTGTCCCTATACATTGAGTAAGACAAATCACCAAGTTTCGCTGAAAACCCACCTTCCCAACCCCGGATTAAAAATCTGAGACCGAATATCGCATCTACACACCGAGAGCAACCCACAACTGAATTTTCAGAGCTTAGGTGGTTTGGCAACATTATCAATCTCAACCCCTCCCCGGCATATCCCGGAAGGCGCCCTAGAGATAACTACTTGCTGTACGCACAGATATAGCACAGCTGTAGCTGTAGTCTAGTCACGACGGACTGAAAAAGAACCACGAGTTTTCATTCATCCTTCTCCTTAGGCGCACACGTACCAGCCAGCCAGCCCAAGTGACTGTTTAACCCACAAACGCACTCTGTTCGTAAAAACACACAAACAAATGAAAGCAAATGTAGACAGCATATCTCGTTTGAGACTTACGTTCGACAACACATCAAATCAACGTCTACGCCACCACCTCCTCTACACACACCCTGCTGAATGTTGTAATAAATGCGAGCCGCGCAGGAGGTGCTACGGAAAAAGGTACTTGGGGGGCAAAAAGCCGAAACACAAAGTGGGTGGCAGGGCAAGTGTGCCATCATGATCCAAGTATCACATTAAAAAAAATCCAACACGAAGCTAGATTACGTCATCGTCCCATCCAATATTATCGTGTGTCTCCATTGAACAGGCTGATGCACCTACCAACAAGCGATTGCGACAGCAGTTAAACTAGTTGAAGAACCCCCGCCGCCCCGTTTGTAGCCGTCAAGGTACACGGTACACCATCCCCGGCGAGGATTCCGGCTTGCAGCGAATTTCAATTGCATGCAACTTTGGTTGCAACCCAGCATCGCTACCTCCGCATTAGACTACTGCAGGAAGCCAAAAGGGTGCAGCTTGTTTCTCATGTTGCGCCATCTTACACACCGCCACACCTCAACGTTCATGTTCATCGTTCGATACGTTACTGTCGCAACACCTTCCCTCAGTTGATGGATGATACGATAACACCCGGGTTTTCTCTTCGTCTCTGCTCACACGAGACTCCATGGCTGAATGACTGATTCATGACAAGAGGAAAACTATCGAAAAGCACATCACAAAATAATACCACTGGTGCTTTTGCCTGCCCCTACAACTTGGGAATAATAAAAACATTACTTGCGCCTTTGGTATCACCGGGTATCGCTTGGAGCCTTCCACGTCATGCAAATCCTGACAGCGCTCGTTCTTGCAGCTTGTCTATTCCGACTGCTGTAGACGGCATAATCAATCACGTTTCTACCTATTGATTGAGTCCAAATAAGAGGTACACACCAGATGGGTCTACCATACCTTCTCTTCATTACTTTCTTTAAAAAAATAAAAGTACAAAATAGTACACCGTCCTAACCCTTCCTTACACGTGTGAGAACATTGTAGAGTGTTAAGAGTGTTGATATTTTCATCTCGAGCCGTCAAGGTACGAGCAGTGACACCGGTAATAAAACAATTTATCCCCCCCCCCCTGCCCCCCCTTCAACATCGAACGACAAAAACGTTCGCGGTGGCACCCCTAGCTCCCAACGACTCTCCCTGCCATCGCCAGCTAGTCAAATCACATCAGAATTATCGTATATGATCGCATTTATGCATACCACACAACACACCAGTGCTGTGCTACCACGCAGCGGGGAATGAAAAATAGACAGCAAAGCTGACGCACCACTTGATTGAATGGGTGGATCCCCTCTCTGGCGGCAGTCGGAAATATTACTAGAACAAATTAGAAGTGAGCATTAGTTCTTTCACTCCGTTGGGGCCCTGTGGTGGTGGTGGACGAAGGGTGGTCTGCTACTGTATTCCTCTACATCTGTTGTCGTGGAGACGGCCTTGACCGCCGCCGACAAAGCCGCAGACACAGACGACACCGAGATCACATCCAGCGCAGCTTCTGAAGGCGTTCTCGAAAATCGCGGCCTGGGGGAACGAGAATCGATAGGCGCTCCTGACGACGCCGCTGATGAAGCTGCCGGCCATGCCGCTGCTGGTGATGGTACTGGTGCTGGTGCTGGTGCTCCTTGCGAGTTGGTGCTATAAGGAGGCGCTGGCGTCGTCATCGCCTTCGGCGGGTGTGTGTGAGTGTGAAGGTGAAGGCCTCGGGTATCAACACCATCGGCATCACCACCCGTGCCACCGGCCGGCGCTTTCTCAGCGACCGTGTTCGTGGAGCTGGAGGCAACAACAAACACCGCATCTTCACCTCCATCGCTGGACTTCGATCCACTGTCGCCTAGGTCTCCACCTTCGCTGCCATCCCCGCCTCTCTTGCCCTTTTGGCAGTCTCTTCTCTCCGCCGGGTGCGCTTCGGCGTCCTCACTGCCATCGCCACTGCCATCGGCATCATCTTCGTGAACGTCGTCAACGTCATCATTGAACGAGCTACCCTTGTCATCATCGTCCTCGTCATCATCATCATCGCCTTCCTCTTCTTCCTCCTCCTGGGAAGTTGAACGACCGAGTGGACCGAGTGGAACGAAGATTAACAACAACAAACACGTGGTGTATGTAGAGGTAGACATTGCTCAAGCAGCGCTCGGGCAGCACAGCAACGACGCGCGAACAAGTCAAAACAACCACAGAGACTGCTCGCCCCGGTGGTTCGTTCGTCCGGTTGGCAACAACCTCGTCATAACCTTCTGACCAAAATCCAAGTTGCGGGCATGGATGTCGCTTGGAGTGCAAAAAGCAGTCGCCTTTTTGGAATCGAAAGTGGAAAGCACACTGTAGTGAGCAAAAGACAAATGAGGCAAGGCAAGCATGTGCTGATCTGCTCAACCCTTTCGGCGTTTAAGACCGAACGCAAGCACCTTATAGGGAAGGGAAGGGAAGGGTGTAGTGTCGACAAAACTTGACCGTCAAGTGTAGAATGGCGCCCAGAAAAAGCATAGGAGGAAAGACACACAACAAGGACATCCAAGCGAAAAAAATGCAACTCTGCATATATGTATGTTCGATTGGATTGCGACTGTAAGTGTTCAACAAACATACAAGCCCCGCCTCCTTGTATTTTAGAATGGTAACGTTTTCACACCTCCGAGTCATCGTCGTCATCGCTGTCGGAGTCCCCTGGCATGGACATCCCCGACGCGCGCTTCTTCGTCCCAGCGTGGTTGAGCGTTTTTTGGAGACCCACGCCTCCTTCGTAGTAGCACTTGAGTCGTGCCGCAAAGCAGATGAAGTCCATCAACCCTGCCAAAGGGAGCAACGCGCAATGGAACGTGCAAACAGATGGAAAATCAACCATACGACACAACAGATACAACCTCTTCGTGTCTCGGAATGCATTTCTACGTCAGTAACCCAGACCCCCCCGCCCCCTGCCCGCTTCGCCCGCATCAAGAGGTATCTTATGGTATGCTAGCCTACGCCCAAGCTATTTATTCGAATCACGTAATCTCCATACAAGATGTGTATGAAGGCTGGGTCCAGCGCTTGCTGCCCTTTAGATGTCGCTGCTGGTTGGCACGAAGAAGGCCTCTGCCGCCATGTATGCATAGACAGAGCTGAGCCCACAGACACGGCATGGTCGCAACAATACACATCCATCTATCAAATCATGACACATGACCCACACACATACCTATCTTGCCGTCGCAGTCCACGTCGACCGCCTTGATGCAGGCCTCAATCTCTCTCTCTTGTGCGTAGTCGTCCTGTTCATCGGCGTACTCCTCGAGCGCAACTCCGTCGATAAATTCACTTCCGCGCTGATCGATGGGTTTCGGATGCGAGACCAAGCACGACGGGTTAAAAAAGACGGGTCAAAATTGGTGACACGTCATAAAGAACAAGGTGGAGGCAGGTGCATGCAATGTTGACGGAAGACGGGCGAAGACGGGTTGGTGTGGTGTGGTGGAACGTAACGTACGGTTGGTGTGGTGGAACGTAACGTACGGTTGGTGTGGTGGAACGTAACGTACGGTTGGTGTGGTGGAACGTAACGTACGGTTGGTGTGGTGGAACGTAACGTACGGTTGGTGTGGTGGAACGTAACGTACGGTTGGTGTGGTGGAACGTAACGTACGGTTGGTGTGGTGGAACGTAACGTACGGTTGGTGTGGTGGAACGTAACGTACGGGTGGTGTGGTGGAACGTAACGTACGGTTGGTGTGGTGGAACGTAACGTACGGTTGGTGTGGTGGAACGTAACGTACGGTTGGTGTGGTGGAACGTAACGTACGGGTGGTGTGGTGGAACGTAACGTACGGTTGGTGTGGTGGAACGTAACGTACGGTTGGTGTGGTGGAACGTAACGTACGGTTGGTGTGGTGGAACGTAACGTACGGTTGGTGTGGTGGAACGTAACGTACGGTTGGTGTGGTGGAACGTAACGTACGGTTGGTGTGGTGGAACGTAACGTACGGTTGGTGTGGTGGAACGTAACGTACGGTTGGTGTGGTGGAACGTAACGTACGGTTGGTGTGGTGGAACGTACAGGCACATTGTTCTCGGGTGCAGGCAAAGGATTTTCACGCTCCACGCTCCGGAGGCAAGCCAACAAGGCCACCACAGTTAAGATCCACTCCGAACTGCCCAACGTGATGATGAAACAAAACAAAACAAAACAAAACAAAACAAAACACAAGCACAACACACTGCTGCTTATGGGCAACACAGTGAACATCTCGATTGACGTTGGGCACTGCAGCGCGAACATGCACCCCACGCGCGAGGCATCCAAGAGGGTGAGGATGGATGATACAAGCCGCTACGCTTTACGCCACCAACCAAAACCACTTGAAACGTGCGACTTACAGTACTTCCCCTCCGCTATGCACCACGGCGTACGACAAATTTAATATCATTCTCCCTTACTCCCTTTCTCCCGTGCTGCTGTTGTGCTGTACCTGGTCCATGAGGGCGAAGAGAAGCTTGAGCCCCAGGATTTCGGCGTGCGTGAAGGCGCAGTCCTCCTGGTCGTATCGTATCAAATCGTATCATGTCATCGCACGTCATGGCACAAAGGTACGCAGGATTACAAAGATAGACAGAAAAAAGAGGATGGCAACAGGAGCAGGAGACTAGGCGTTGATGATTGATTGTGCCACAATGACGTCACACCCTGTCTTTATGATCACGGAGCGAGGGTGTCCACGCCAGTTGGACCACCAACACGGTACACATGTTAAAATAAAACGTGTATTGTTGAGCAGAGACCTGCTATGTTTAAATGTCAAGAAAACAAAAACGTTGTGGCATAGATCACGAAACACGCAGCAAGGGAACACGCATGTTGATAAAAACAACAAAATATGGGCAAACGACACAAGAGGGCATACACCCTGTTCGACAAGCGACACAGCTGGACATACACAGATTCACAGCGTCAAATGAGCTCAGTTGATTGGTCAATGTCCACGTTCACCCTGCCGTGTCCCAAATACCCCGGTGTGTACCCTGACACGGCTACTTTTCTCGAGAATTGTAGATACCTTGATTTCAGCAAATGCACCCTGATCTGCCGTTTCCTAACCCAGATGCATACGAAGCACGAATCAATTAATCACTTTCTAATCTTACCATAAGGATAGCAACCAACCAGTAACCATTCCGCTCGAAACCAACCATGGCTGTTGCACAGCATATTTCCGTTGGGAAAGAAACCGACAAGTTGTGCAGAATGCGAGATACAAGTGACGCTCAGAACGCGACCGATCCAGCATGGTAGAAAGAAAGCAGCATGACTGACACGCAGAGCCGGTCGCCCCGGTGGTCTAGTTGGTAACCTCGAAACCTTCTACAGGTCAGGTCAGGGGTTCGAATCCCGGCGTAAGCGAGCTTTTCCTGCAAAGTGAGCTTTTCTCTCGCTTCCGCTCCTGGCCTAGTGGATAGCGCTAGTTCGTGTGTACACAGAGGGAAGAGAGTGCTGAACTCTTCTCGCATTAAAAATCGAAGGCCGAGTACCGCAGGAGGGGAGGGCAGAGAGGGGCTCTTCTGTGTGACCACGGCACCAGTACCGTGAGCGCTGATTGGGAGTGAAGACCAAAAAAAAAAAAAAAAATCTGAATGTATGCGGATGGCTTTGTGACGGCAAGGAGCTCGTGGCGGTGGAGAAGTGCAAGGACACACACTCACGCCGAACGAATCACCATGGAGAAAATGAGCGTACTGCCCTACCTACAACACAGGCGATTGGACGTGCTACAATACCACAGACCCGCGCTGGAGCAGCGGAGGCTCTATGGACGGCCCTCTGAACCCAATTTTGATGCTAGGCTGTGCGGGGTCTGACAAGCATAGTACGTACAAGGCGTGCATGAATGTCGGCGTGGGATGGGTAAATAGGCGCTCCTTCCACAATGATTCGCTCGGCATGTGTATGTCCTAGCACCATTCCGCCACCACGAGCTTGTCGCCACACATCCACCTCACATGACACATGCTTTCAACCATGCTGGATCGATCGCGTTGTGAGCATGATGGCTCGTATCTCGCACCTCGCACATCTCGCAACTTGTCGGTTGCTTTCCCAACGGAAATGTGTTGTGTGCCAGCCATGGTTGGTTTCGACCGGAATGAGTTAATGGTTGGCTGCTGTCCTATGGTTGAATCAGAAACTGGTAAATGAATCGTGCTATGGATATTGGTTAGGAAACGTCAGATCAGGGTACATTTGCTGCAATCAAGGTATCTCTGCATACAATTCTGGAGACAAGTGGCCGTGGCAGGGTTTACCCCCGGGGTATTTGGCTCATGGCAGGGTGACACTGGACGTTGACCAATCAGCTGGGCTGGTTTGACGCTGTCAAAATGTATACGCCTTCGACCAGGGTACACCTTGTCGTGTCGTTTGCCCCATGAAAGGTTTCAAGTTCGGCACATTATAATGGTACAACGGTACAATGGTACATGGTATGGTAATATGTTAGCGGTAAACCACCAACGCGATCCCTACAGTAGAGGTGTGTCGAACAACAACCAAGACCAAAGCAGTAGTGTATTAACAAAGTAACATTTCCAATCTGACATGTTCCGGAAAACTCTCATGAGACAGGGAGAGAACAGATAAAGACGCAGGCAGAGCCAGCTCGATCATATTCCACAATAAACCTGCATGAGGCAAACCTGCCCTAACTATAAGCAACTGCTTTACGCGGTCTGATCTATCCCTATGTATCTATCTGTCTCCTCGAGTAAATGTGACCCAACTCATCTCACCGCGATAGTACCCCTTCGAGTGAGAGTGGGCGGCGAGGGAATATTCTTGTCCTTCTCCTTGTCGTGGCCATGATTTTGATAATCATAATCATAATCCACGCCATGCACGCCTTTCTCATTGCCCGCGGGTTGTTTCAAGGATGCCGACGGCGCCGTGGGGCTCGACCCGGCTTCTTGGGGCATAGTCATCGTCATCGTTGATCTAGACGGTCACAACGTCACAACCGGGAGGGATAAAAAGTCACAACCACATAGTCGGAGTCAAACGCATCGAACCCGCCGCAGATCCGATCATTCAAACTCAGGACGAAATGTACGATGCTGTTCAGGCAGGAAACCCCCCAGAGCCCCAACCGTCGTGAGGTGGCTAAAACAAACAACATGACACAGCAACCCCCTCTCTCCTCTCTTCTCTTCTCTTCCTCGCATGACCTTACGAAGAACATCATATGAGTCACAGTCGCTACAGTACGTCTTTCTTTCTCTTTTATTGCTTCCCTCCGATACAACCCTCCGGTTTCGTAAGCGACGTTTGGTGAAACAAACACTTGCAGCTAGCTTCTGCTGTCATGGAAAGCCCCCAACCATGCGTGACGTATCTCCAGTCCAGCAACGCCGTCACGCGTTGCCACCAGATGCATGTGTATACTGGTTGGTGTCTGCGAGGGGGATAGGTTACACCGCATGCTACATCACAAATCATGTCCATTGCTGCCTCAAACTCACAACATTTTCTGTAAAAAATACAACATGGTAGTGCCAGTGGCATGGCGCCGGGTAAGGCCACGCCACGCTACATTGTACCAACTCATTGCATCCTCTAATAGTGAGCCGACAGCCCATTCGCTCGGAGAAAATATGTGCTAAATACATACAGACGACCACACGGTTAGCTGTGCTGGACAAGGTGAGAGATACGCATACTGTACCTGGAATCTATCATCGCAGAGCCTCCAGACGTCGCTTGCTGAGCCGCTCTCCCGGGCAGCTTCTGGACCATCACGAAGCATTAATGCGAGCATCGCCAGTGGAGTGTGAGTGACAATTTAACGGGGCACAGCGTGAGCGTGCAGGAAGCGTCAGTTGATTGAGCCGGCGTTTGTACGGATGGATGCACCGTCAACGCGGCGTGGACGATAGTTGCCCAGACAAGCCTAGTCTGAGGGCTCACTTCGTAACCGACGTCCGCCATCTCGAAACAAAGGTAACATAGGTATCACAGGTATTGTATCGCCTCGAGACAAAACAAGAAGTACATTCATACGAAGTAGTCTAGCACCGAATTTGGGGGGGAATCCTCACCTTCCTCATTCTTCCTTGTCCTAGAACATCACATGCTTCCTTGTACTATAACACAGGGTAGGGAAAAACGAGCCACACGCTGACTGACGTCTAGAGACGAGAGCAAGTCTGGCAACAATGTAATAATTCATGCCACACGACTAGGTCAGTCGGTCAATATTTTTAGTCTTCATACCTCCCCGTCAGCCTCGCCACCCAGGGTTGATCGTCGCCGGCCCTCTTGAGGCGATGCATCGTCGTCATCGTCGCTCTTGCCCTGGAGAGAGATCGAGTGCCATGGCGCAGATGACTTCCCGAACTTGCCAACACCACCCCGACCGGCAACACTGACATCGCCTGCGACGTTCGTTCAACACGTTCATTCAACGCAAACCCCACAGGGGACGGGCGCAGAACACCAGCAACCAAAGGTGAGTATTGTGTACGGTGTGCCGTATTGGTGGCATCACGCATCACTCGGTGGATGGAGATACGCAGGGTGGCCATTATAGACCACGTACATTTAGTATGTATGCATGCATGTACATTACACCCCATCTGCGGAAGGCGCACGAAGCCCGCAACAAATTCGTTACGAAAAGTGATGTTGCACCAAGCCACTCTCTCAAGCATACAGCACGACACAACAAGAGCGGCAAGGAAAACACCTACCGTGCGCTTGTACTTCGTATGCATAGCTTGCAGCCTCTCTACCATCGCGGGCAACATAAACATCAACCTGCTGCACACCCTTTCACGGTACCTTACCTTGCAAAAACGGCATGTCACCAAGATCGCGGCGTGTGCACGGAGAGCAATACACATCACCAAGCAACCAGGACATGTTAGATGTTGGACTCATTCGCCGTGAAACGCCAAACCAGAATCAAGAAAAAAATAAACAAAAGATACAACAAACCAACCGACGGACGGACCTGATTGCGCCAAGCCCGGGGGGGGAGGCGGCGGAAACTTTCCGTTGTTTGAGGTGGAGGTGATGGGAGAATGCCTCCTCGGCGACACGACGGTCGTCTTCTTGCCGGCGCTGTTGGACCTGCTCTGTCCCACCCAAGGCGCCCCACGGGCCGCGGTGTGAGTGTGACCGGTGCCATCGCCTCCCTTGCCTGTTCCTCCTCCCTTTTTGTCGTCCCTTCCGAACACTCGGCCCGGGGGGGCTTTCCCGCCCCACATGGGAGGGGGCGATGCGGCCACCTACGGCAGGTGAGGAAAGAAGGAAAGAAGGAAGGCGTAACTATCCGTGCGCTGTTGTGTGCCGTGGACCGCGTGCATAGAGGGCACCTTTTGTGCCAGAGTGTTCTCGTGGAATGGAATGTATAGCGGCGGCGGTGGTCGTCAGCGATACTGGTATGACATGGCGTTGTGTTCTCCGCTGAACTGCTTGCTGCTGCATCAAAACCTAGCCCTAAGGTCAAGCATCAGGACATCAAGTAAGACGACCGACCGAGCACCTTGTCCACCCAGATGCGGCGGGCGAGAGCGGAGTCCTTTACCCTCGTCAGCTTGGAGGCCACCGTATCGCTGCGGGTCCGCTTCGTGAGTGCTTCGAACACCTGCATGAACGGTATTCGCAATACATGAATTACAACAGAAGCCCCACCCGGCGTTGAGATGATGACAGGTAACCATAACCATGATTATTACCTTGACCTTGCGTCGGTGGGTGAGACATCCAACTCCACAAGCCATGTTGTTGTCCCAGCTATGGAGGGCAGGGTCAGCTCGTGCTTGTGGCACGCGGTCACGGCATTTTCATGCGCGGGGCATGTGCATATAACAACAAATAATCGACGCACACCTCCGCATCAACGCGAACGTGACTATTTGCCATGCCTGCCTGCAGCAGGTCTAAGAGCTCAGTGATCAAAGTGATCTAATCCAGGCAAAAGACCTGATCGACTTCCAGGTCGACACCTTGTGTCACGTACTTGCCCAACTCATTGAAAATTCAACACACTCACGTTGATCTTTTGCTTGGTGCTGTTTGGCGCGCCGGCCGTGTTAGGGCTGCCCGTGGCCGCCTTCGCCTTGGCTTTGGACTCGATCGATGCCTTCATCTGAGACACGATGCCCCCTGAACCACTCCCGTCTCGAACGTGCCGCTGGCGGTGCGGTGCGACAGCAATGGCAACCAAAACAGAACCAACAAGGGCCGCGTGAAGCAAACCGCAGGGCCAGCAAACTGGCATGTGGTGAATCAAGGACAAATTTGGACCGCCCGACCTGGCTGTATGCATGTTGCATACATGAGCGCCCTGGCACGACTTCCAACCGCCAGTGTCTCATCCGATCACTTAGCCTGCTTCAAACACTGATTAGCTAATCACAGTAGTCCATCCACACGCTCGGGGGTGAATCTGGCGGTAGTGTTTGTTTTATGTTGATGCCGGCAAAATAAGTAAAATCAACTGATGGATGCCCGGAAAAATTCCACGGCCACCTGGTGAGTGTGTTTCACGAGCCTGGAACGATGTAGTATCGCAAGTGTCTTCAAAACAAAAAGGGAAACGATACACATCAAGACAACCAACACCAACACCAACAGGATCACGGGTCACTCAAGTCACCCGACCAACAGGGAGGCGAAATAATCCGATCGATCATCATCCTACGCAAGTTGCTTGCTTTAGATGGTGAGATCGGGTTGCAATTGCAATCGTCTCACGAACGCCACATCCACGATGAGACGACGTGCTACCTTTGCTCTCCCTCCTGTCCATTTGAGTCTGTCCATCAATCCATCCATCTGTCTGTGTTAAGTCTCACCTTTCGCCTCTCTGCCCGAGCCTTGTGTTCGAAGATGTTGGTGATCTGCATCACGGTACTGCTGGGCTTTCCCATGTCAACCGGGAAAGGTGCCGCGTGTCCCGCTCCAGGCCCACCCCTCGCCGCGGGATCGAACCTGTTTCGAAGCTCACTCACCTGTCCACAGGTAAGACAAGGAAGGCATGGGTATCAATCACATGACGCGACACGTGTTACACACATAAAAATACAGAATACGCCCATGACACTCGATGGCGAGTACACCATACGCACAACACAAAACAAGGAAGTCATCGAAAGGTTGGTCTCGCATGACGCCATCAAATAAACTCAAACACCAGGATTGACCAGGGCGTGAGAGCAAAAACACCGAAACCGCATGAGAGCTACAACAGCTGTGATAGCACTCCTGCTCTGACAAAGGGGATAGGGGTTAGACAACGTTCATTCCGGTCGTGCATCGGCGGGTACAAGAAAAGCGCAACGATACAAGTCAAAAGTTGGCCTTTCCACCACAAGGTCCGGGGATGGAGAGTCAGTCCCCAGCCCAGCACAGCACAGCCCAGCCCAGTCCTCACCGTGATCTTCGTGGTGGAGTGAACGAGCGAGCTGACGCTGGAGGGCGTGTTGGCCTTGGTGCTGAGCCTGCTGACACCCTCGTCCTCGCACGACTCGATACGAGCGTTTAGGTAGTCGGGGTGCAACTCGTTGATCCTGGAAGTCAGTCAAGTCAAGCAAGTCAAGGAAGTCAAGGGGTTTGGTTGGCTGGTTTCGTTTGCGTCGAATATCTCGTATGTTCGAGTCGAGTCAAGCTAAAGTTGTGTTCCTCGGCATCGCAAGTCAAACAAAAGTTGGCGTGACAGAGTTAGCTGGCGGTCTCTTGTCTCTTGTGCCTCATGAATTCGTGCTGACTACGACCCCCGGCCCCTTTGCGTTCTGGTCTCCACCGTACTGTACTGTACTGTACTGTACACATGTGGAGTGATGTGGAGTGCCACGAGAACGAACTCCCTCAACCAAACTACGTCTAGCCGATGCCTCCTCTACGCGCTCGTTGCTTCGAACTTGCCCTAAAATTAACGCTGTTTTGTGCTGAATTCACGGTTCGAAACAGATCCCAAGGGTTCGAAATCAATCAAAGGCATGAACAGGGGTGCCGTACACTTTCTTACACTGTACGAAGACTCGATCATAAACAAACGCTGAAAAATAAATAAACCTCACACATGTAGACCATCACGGTCTCTAACGCTGCTTCCTCTCACCTGTCGTGCGCCGCCTCAAGCTCGTACAGGTCGTGCGCTGTCAAACTCCGGTCCTTTCTCGCCTCATAACAAGATGAACAACAAGGAACCACGAGAGAGAAGCCATCAAACACCATAAACGAACCGACCAACCAACCAAACGAAGGTCGCAAAGCCGTGCATTGCATATACCTACACACCGAAATATGGACAAAGGTCTCTGTTCCGCTTCGAACAAAACAAGGCCTCCGCAATCACACTGCCCAGATTTGTCTACAGAGCGTCGATCTCAATTGACCTTGTCCTGTCAACCAACTGGATTCTTTGCACCCATACTTAGCATGCATAGTACCACGGTACAAGCGATCGTTGGGACATTGCGGCCAGCCATGCGTAATCGTGTCAGACATGAAGACATGTCAGTCATTCCCGCCTCTCCACTACACTACACTTAAACTAAACTACATTATCTCGCCCGTACTATACTGCACCTGGGGTGGGCTGGAGGGATCAGATCCCTTGGTAGATGCCTCGTGCTCCGAAGCCAAATCACCTCCGACGGAGCATCCCGTTCCCACAACACTGCTCGATTCGCTAGCCTCACCGCCGTCCTATGCATTGAGTATCACAACACGACAAAGACAAAGACGCCCACAAAGCAAGGCGACACATCGTTCGATACTAGACTTTTCAAACCAGAGGGCGTTCAAAAATACGGGAAGCTCAGAATGTTCATATACCGCAAGCTGAAAAACCACCATGATACCATCAAGAAGAACAGCTGTAAAAGCGCGAGTCAGTGTCATATTCACCACGGAAGTAGGTATGCACATGCAATATTGATGGATAGGTCGGTTCGATTGGTAACTGGACCATGCGTCCACCCCCGTCTTGTCTTGATGTGTTGATGGCATGACTAACCTCAAGGGGTTGTGCTGGCCCCATCCTTCCCGCAAGCTTCACGAAGTCCCGGAAGGTAGTGGGCATGTAGGGGCAAGACTCGATCAGCGCTGTCAGGTGCACCTCAGATCTGTCATCATACCACCATGCCATCATATCAACATGTCAATGCCAGAGCAACCAGCGCATACAATACGTCCAAGCATCCCTGCAGCATGCAGAGAGCGGCACAGAAGTAAGGAGCCATCCAAATACCTCAGGTACATCAACAAGCAGAATGCTAGAACTCCTCGACCATCAGAGCAAACGGTACGCAGCAGAACTGTACCTACTCGCACGACATTCGTACTGTAAAAAAAAACGCAGCTTGTCAGCAATAACAATTCAATAGCACAATCAGACGTTGCCTCTTTAGCGATGCTGCAACATCAATACTGCAGGTCGATAGGGGACGCGGACGTTCAATTCACTTTCAAAAAAACAACCCGCAAGGTCGTGGTCTCACTTCGGTGCCACACCACAGCAAGACGCAGCAAGGACTGTTGTTGTCAACCAAATGCATGGGCATGTGCATAGCCTAGAGGAACAACCACACGAACCGAGGCATGGCTGTTGTACCGCCGCCCCAAGTATCGACACACCGATACACACCCTCTCTGGCTGCTCTACTAAAACCAAACCCAATACAAGGCATGAATGACATTCGATTTCATGGCCATGACATGTGCACTATACTAACCTGTCTGGGCGGTTGAGCCTGTCTGGGTGATCGACACACTCGAAGTGCTCCACCTGCGGCTCTAGCTCCTCACACAGAAGCTCAAGCACCGCCGCCCTGCACCCCACAAAACAAAACCGCGTCATGTCATGTCATGTCATGTCAACATCGAGTACAATGGCAGGTACACCGGGTATAGTAAGGAGCAGCGGAAACGTGTGGCTGGGCGCGCAACGAAGAGGCGGTGCAGTATTAAGGGCATAGCACACTGCACTGGACCATTGGAGCGGTGCGGCATTGGACCGCACCAGCATGATTGCATGCACCTCTGTGCAATTGCCCGATTCAAGGATTCAAGGCAATACTAGAGCGGCAACAGATCATCAGGGGTGCGGCGTCGTCAAACTTGATACGTACGAAAAGCGAAAAGAAGAGACATGAATTCCTTCGGGCCGGGTAGAAAGGAAATCGAAACGAGCACGAGGCGTAACGCTACTTTATCCCGAAGGCGCGGTTGTAGTGCACACCTCAAGTGCTGTAGTGCTGGTTAGTGCTGGCGTAAGTGATTGGTAGGAAGAAACATGAGTGGAGATCCATGCCTTCTTTCAACTCATTTCTTTTCACCTGTTGCCGTATCTATCGCAGTAGTTGGGCGCCGAGAAGACGGTGATGACAGGAGGAAGCTCCTTGTCGCCATCTGGAACAAAAAAAAAGAATAGCCCAGATCCCACACGCAGCGCGTATCCGTGATGCAGCCAACGACATGCAAAGTCCAGCGAGAGTCAGGGGGGGCGGGGGGTACGCATACCGGAAACGGAGAACGTTATTCAAAAAGGCTCGCCAACCGTTCGAACGGGCTCGAGAGAAGCGAATGACCCGCTTGTGTTGTGAGTTATCAACATTTTTTTGGGCATTTTCCTCCTGGACGGCATGATACCTGGGATGGAAATCCAGTAGCAGCGGCAACAGCAGCAGCAGGGCAACCAAAATGACCGATTACTGCCCATCGCTGACTTCAACTTCAACGTCACACATTCCGACAAACCAAACAAAGCGTCCCATTCATCCGCCTGTCTCTTATCTGTTTGGCATACCCAAAAGAAAAAAGATCCACCACAAGCTGAATTGAGTTGGTCTTCTCCAGTCACCCCCTTGTGCTTAAAACATTCGCCCGCAAAATGTCTCCACGTGCTTGGCACCTCTCTCCCTGCCATATGCATGGGCACTGCTACGTTGTAGGCTCTCTCTCTTTCTCTCCCTCTCTGTCTCTCTCACCGACTTCGCGCTTCTTGAGGGCCTTCTCGAAGTGTCGGTAGTAGCCATCCTCTTGTACGGCATGCGCCCGGATAACACACATGAGGTGGTTGTTGTCGAGGAACCTCCTCACCGCCAAGTACCCGAACGCCACGCTGCACCCTCGCAAGCGGTTGAACTGAAAGGTGCTGTTCAACAGACTGTCCAGCTCCTGAGAATCGCAACGCCGTATAGTGACACGGGTCGTCTCCCTTGTTTCAGCAAAGGTCCCAAGCAAGGTCTCAAGTAACCTAACCTACCACTACCTTCGAGATAACCAACGGCGTTCCAATCTGTGTTGACATTGAAAAGTGACGGAAGTGAGTTGAGTGCTGTTGGTGACTGCCACTCTTCTCCTTTTCGTGCCGAAACAAATCCACCACAAAGTGCAGTAGCTCCAAGCAGCTAACCACCACATCCAGACACAGAAACTACGGTATTGCCGGATATGTACCGCAAACCATAGTATAGGAGAGCTATAGCGGCAGCATCTCCAAGTTGACGCGAGGCAAAGAACGAGACGAATGCAAATGAATCACAGGGTCAAATTGACAGGCCTCGTCCCGGTGCAGGCATGAATTATCTACCGGACCGGAACGACACGGGTGCGACAAAAACTGCGACTAATCGCCACGAGTTTGAGCCTGAAGCCATGACAAGAACCCTGCAAGAACATTATTCTTTATCCTCATTCTTCACTGTTTGACTCTTGATTCTTCACCTGGTCGGAGAGCGACTCGATGTTGGTGACTCCAGGATCGTCCGAAGGGTCTGCCCAGAGCAAATCGCACAACAACCCCTCCATCTCCGGCTCCGCCCTGATGCATCATGCACCACAGCACCACAGCACCACAGCACCACAGCACCACAGCGCCACAGCACCACCGGCAACGAAGTTCAGCCAGAGCCCCCCCCCCCACGAACCACAGAGGGGCGACAGGTGAAACACGAAGGAATGGGTGAACGCGGCAGGTGAGATTTCGGCGGTGCTAGCCCAAAGCTAGGAAGACTATCAATGCACCACGGCAGCGGGAGAATACATTATCCACACCGGGTCAGGGTCAATCCAAGCCATTCCCATTCGACACACGGTACAACGATGCGCGGGCAGTACTACGATCTCCAGGAACACCAAGTAATGCCGGAGCTAGCGCTGGAGTGTTGCCCAGCTTTCAGAGCCCGATTCGCGGGTTCAAACGTTTCAAACCGCTTCTCCGTGTGCTGCGGTACAGCTCTAGATACCTGCGGTCAAGAGCGGCGATCTGGTCCAAGCTCGTAAGGTCTGGCGAGATGCCACCATGGGTACAGAAGTATCTCCCATGGTCGTTGGCGATCACCGCGCAGAGAGGCATGAGCTCGAAACATCGCAGGAAGCGGTAGTAGACCGGCAGCCCGTACTTGGACTTGCACTCATCCTGTAGAGCGTGCGGCCGCACCATCGTCCAGACAACACACGACGAAATCGTCAGCGTCGATCTCTTGCTTGCAGTCTCAACACGCGACACACGATAAGTACAAGAGTGCAACAGTACAATCACGAGCGGGAGAGTGCGGACAGGCTCTTCGTCTCATGCGCGGCGACAAGACCACTCTCAACTTCAAAGAAAATTTGGACCAAATTGATGGAAGTACTTCTTTGTCGCGCCGAACCGCACAGAGAGACGGGCTCGCGATAGAGGACAATGGTCTCATTCAAAAGAGAGATATCCACATGCACCGGCATAGGTAACTAGCTTTACCTTGAATCCGAAGTGCGTGGTAAGGCTTCGGCACTCGTGATTGCCGCGGATAAGGTGCACCTTCATCGGGTGTGCCACCTTAAGCGCCAGAAGGTACAGCAGCACCTCGCAAGAAAACTCCCCGCGATCTACGTAGTCTCCCAAGAACAGATAGCTGTTGCCGCGTCGGGTGGAGTGAGAACGAGTGTGAGGTTGAGTGTTGGCAAGCGGTGAGGGGCGAGAAAAATATAATACAATGGTGCTGCATCCAGAGGGAGATTTGGCGACACGGTCGGATGCTCCCTCCCAAACAAAGTACTGTACCCCGGTGTGCTGTCTGCCTATCGCAGTATGTATTGTCAAGGCCTAGTGACCTCACATCTTGCTTTACTCCGATTAATAGGCTCTCGTTCTTGCACTCGATCTACCAGACCAAACCCGATAAAGCATATTTCACCCCACTATTAATACCTTCTCGCCCACAGCAAGGCAACGCATGTACTAAAAGCTAACACGTGAGGTGTTGGACAACTAGTATACTAGTATTAGCTTCGTAGCATCGTAGCATCGGACTACGCACGCAACAGCACAATATGCCACCAGCACGGCAAAGCGCACCTTGCTCCGTCACGAGGTGTTCCACAATTTTCAAGCATGGAGATGAGATCAAAGAACTGCCCATGCAAGTCTCCCACGATCTTGATGGGCGCCTTCAGCTCAAGGGCGTTGGGCTCCGTCTTGAGGATCTCCAAAGCCTGCACAGCAAATCCATCCGTTTGTCAACAGCGTCATTTGAAAGTTGCAAAGAAATGGAAACGCCAGTAAAATGCAATCCGTGTGATATTTCCAAAATGGAACCACGCGCAAACTGTGCCCCACGTGGACAGACGCCGCTGGTGACTGGTGAATGTTCACATCGTTGGCGGCCTCGTGGTCACAATAAAAATAACAGCAGTGTAACGCTCGTTGCCTTACAGCACTGTGCTGCTGTACCGCACAAACTTGCAAAAACAAAAACAACGATGGTGGCGCCACCAAACACAACACCAATCGAAAACGACACGTACACATTTGTGATCGACACAAACATCCCATGGGATGAGATGCGATGCCACTTTGACTGTACCACTGCACACCCACATGTAGTATTATACTTTGTGTTTGCTGGTAACTGACTGACTGGCCCACCTGGTCGATGAGGAAAAGGGCCTCCCCCAAGGTAATAGTCTCCTGCCGTTGGAAGCGCTCCGACAGAATCTCGGGCTGAATGATGAATGATGTAATCGAGTATCCATCGATCACGCGTACACAAGAGAAACAAAAGGACATTGCCGCGCACCAAGCATCAACGAAAGAGTGGACGGTGTTAGGGTCGTTTCAGCACAAAGCGGACTTGTCGGGTGGACGCGTCTCCCTCGGCTTTTGTATCGATACAGCCACAAAACTAAATCATGAAGCAGACATGCCACTCAAGCTAAAACCACGGCAAAAAGTAAGCCAAACTCGACAAGACTAGACTATGCCACTCTCAACTCTGCCAACAGTATTGCAATAGACGCAGGCAGGCACTGCGCAATCCCACACAAACCTTTCGATTCCGCATCGTCCTCTCTACTTCACTGGACAACAACAGGCGGGGATGCCCCTTTCCCCTCCACGACACAGCTATTGTACTAAATAGAATCGCGTTCGTACTAATGTGCATGTACACCGATAGACCCCTCACCCACTGTGCTACGCCCTTCCCCCCCTCACAGCATGAAACTTGTGCTAGACACAAGGAAAACCATGGGCATTGGTACGCCCGCTCGCGCTCGATAAGCTACAGTAATGATTGCAGTCCATGACTCTCTCAACCAGCAACGCACCAACGACTGGCGGCTAACTTAGGGTTAGGTCCATAAGGCCGACAGAAAAACCAGCAAGGCAACTCAACGCGATGCCAGCCGTGATCCCTACTAAAAGTGTGGTGTGGAGATGTATCATACCTTGAGGTCATCCATAGACGGCATCTCCGTATCGAGGAACTGTCCTAGCTTCTCCCCCTGCACGACCGTGCTCATGCTGTAGAGCCCTTTGCCCATGGTCTGGACCATTCTCTTCGCCGCCTGCAACATGCCATGCCACACACCACACCGGACGGCTTCGTGTCAACTTGACGCCGGTCGTCACACCATCAACAAAACACACAGCAGCAGCAGAAGCTGCAGTAGGCTACAAAAGTCTCCTTCTTTGATGCCCCGCTTCAAAATCGATCACTGCGCGAAGACATATCACATACCACATACCACAGGTGCACCTGACTTGACGAGGAGCGTGATTGTCGGCGACGGACGTACCTACATGGTAAAGAGTGCGAACTGTACTGCCAGCGCTGCTGTTATAACTTGTTACCCTTGCAAGAAATCTCTCTCACCTTCCACGACACTCGTTTGGCCTTGTCCATATGCTGACTGCAGAAGTAGTCGGAGGACATGCGTGCTCGCCCGCAATCCGTGACTAAGCAGCTGTGACCGCCAAACAAAAACAAAAAATCAACAACATCCACCAGGTTTTAAGGTTTAGACATTCGGCAAGATGGCATAGGTAGCCGCGTCGAGGGACACAGACTACAAGGGCGACATCCTGACTTGGAAGCTGTGCACTACCTGCGATGTGCTTTTGATTTGGAATGTGGGTACGCATGTAACTGCTGTGAGACATGCTCGCAGACAGCTGAGTTCGACTCGCTCTGCGGATGGTTTTGTATCTTGCAGGACGTACATCCAGCAATCTGTAGTAGGATGCCATCTACGCACGCCATCTACGCACGCCATCTACGTCGCGAGTAACACATTTCGATTTCACGGTTGAATAAGGAAAGCAATGGATGGCTGAACCCTCTAACCCTTCTCGCGGTAAAACTAAGGCAAGCACCGCAGGGGGAAAGGTGGGACTCTGAACGAAGCAACAAAATATGAAACAAGCTCCTGTGTGACCTTCCTCTTCCTCTTGGGTGACCCCGGCTGACACGTCAGATATTTACACCGAAAGGCGTGTAGACTGGCGCCACAACATATACATGGGACGAACACACGCGTATAAAACTGCATTGGTCCGTACGAACGTATTTGGTTGAGAGCGATCCAGACAAACCCCATATGTCGGCAAAGCTATGCACATGTATCTAGACACTACTACCATGATACATCGGAGAACTTTTAAACTACTGTAACTCACCAGAGTCCACCCTGCCCTTCCTCGTCGCTTTCCATCATCACGCTGTCCGCTCCCGCTCCATCCTCCCCAGCGGGCTCGCTAACCCTAAGGAAGTTGGCCAACCGGTTGTTTTCCGACGCCCCCCCTCCTCCTCCTCCAGCCCCACCGGCACCAGTACCTGTACCCCCGCCGTCCTCGAACAGGGTCTGTTGTGTTAATAAGTAAAGTGAAGCACAGTGGCACAGCGAGGCGAGGAACAAAAGCAAGAACACCCTAGGTTAAACGAGGCCCCGTGGAGGAAGGCGCTAATGGGGGTGGTGGGGGGTATTGCGCCGACAACAGTCCAGGCGATGGCTCACCAAGCGCACACAAGTTGTGCGTGTACGTACCCTGCCCGAAGCATGTACGCGACATGTTGAAACCCTCCCCTTAGTTGCTCCAACCTAGCCTAGCCTTCCAACCCTTGGAAACTACCGCCTGTTATCGATGCGGTACATCTCGGTCCGAACCCGAAACAAAACGACATGCGAACAGCAACAGTTGACTTGACAAGTTACATTATACCGAGACTTTTTTCTCGCTAACCGAACGCACCAACAGAGCGGCTTGCATGCTGCCAAGCTGCTAAGCTGCTAAGCTGCTGGTGTGTCAAATACAGTAATCCTCTGTACAGCAGTACCTGCGGGTTGCCCGTGCTTGCAGGGCTGGGACTGGCCGTGAGCGTGGGTGATGTCGCTGGTCTCGGCGAAACGGAGACCGGTGGTGGCATCAGGCCCGCGTCGCCGTCGCTGGACGAATGCACGTACTCATGGGGGCTTGGGATGGGAGACGCAGGGACCGCCGGAAATGCTGTCGGTGACTCTGAATATCGCGCAGTCGAGTAGTGGGGAGGAGAGGAGGATGTGCAAGTGCACCGAAACATGCAAGGCAACGGAAGACATTCAGATGACATGAGACGTGACCGATGCTATTCGACCGACCGACAGACAGACAGACAGACAGACAGACACGATGGTTGGGTAAATCGCGCCATGACTGGTAGTGGCTGCGAGCAGAAGCGAGACATTCTTGCGCGAGACACAGAAAAGTCACTTGCCGGTACAGTACAGAGGTACACTGAAATCTGAAACAATTAAGCTGCAATGGTTCCTTGAGTGCAGACTTGCCACTGGAACGAACCTCGCGTAGCGTACAAAAAAATACAATACAATAAGTCTGCCGACTATAACAACTTGTTTTCACGTCGAGAAGTCATTCTTGCATTCTTACAACATACCACACTCTACACAACAGTTACAGTGCTACAACATGCGATAGACACATGTCCTTGCAGGAAAACGTAAGGCCAACGTGGACTCCATAGGACACGCAAACGGGGAACAACAGAGCCTCGCTCGTCTGTGCTACGGCATCGGATGGAAGCACCGGACTGAAGCCGAGCACTGTACAGCGTGGAAACCTGGGGGAGCACATGACTTCTCACTTCAAACCAGTGAGGGGCTGTTCCTCCCGACTCCCGACCAGGCAATAGCAGTAGCTTTAGTGTTTTTAACTAACTAGAGGAGCTCTGCGAAAACGAGGGTCTTCAGGCTGAGATAAGCCCTTTTTTTGGTCTGACATTTTTAGCCCAACCTCTTTCTGGATCAATAAAAAACGAGCGCTCAAACCGCGAGTACCCAAGGTTAGGTATGTGTCGGAAGTATACCCCAAATTGCTACTTCTACTTCACTATTGTACGCTCGGTCAAATTTTTTTGTGCGGGTTACATATGTGCCTATAACCATTGAGAGAGGGCTCGAGCGGCCAAGCTACTATAGTATGTGTTGCACCTAAAATAATCGAGTTTCAACTCGCACAATCATCGTTATCCGTGGTTGAGCCTGCCTGCTGCAGGTTTCTGCGCACACGACGCCTCTCCTATGACACACCACATCAAGGGCTCGAGCGACTGCGGGGATGCGGTTAAGTGAAGGCGGCAATGTGGAGAGTAAACGGAAAGGACCATCACAAAAGGATCGGGGTCGCGATCTCAAGTTGAGAGAGTCCAAAAAATGGGCCTCGCGATGACTCGAACTCGGCCTTGAGCTCAACTAAAAAACCAGCGGTGTATTTAGGTGATTTCAAGAGAAAAGCAAGCTGCTTCCTTTCGAGTAAAACCCTAACCTTCCTTCCACATGCGCTCTGTGCCAGGGGTAGAACTGCAGAAGGTTCATGTCATGTCCTCATCGGTGGAAAAGGCCCCCGGGCGTCGTTTTCTCTTACGCATGTATGTACCATATGATTACCCGCGCTGACTTGTTTGTTCGGTCCGGCGTATGTTGTAAAACAAGGTATGCATATGCTATGTTTCTCGAACTTCGAATTTTCCAGCTGGAACATTGCAACTGGCTTGTGTGGCTCCGTACTCTATGGTTGATGTTGACGGACGGAGATTTGAGCAAATCCACCGATCCCTGAGACTGCCCTCACGCGGGACGGTGTTGTTCCTACTTTGGCCACTTGCCAACGTTTGTTTGGAAAAACCGGCAACAAGTGCACGAGAAGAACACGTTGTATGCTAGCGACCAGCGCATTATGAGAAACACGCTGTCGTCATCTATCTCTTGTCAGAGGATACAATCGACAGTAGTACCGGAGTCGGAGATATGGCACCCCAGTGTTAGTGTTTTTTTTTGTAGCGTATTTCACCACAACCAGGGGGGTACTGAACCAGTGCCGAAAAGGGTACATAGTTTTGGAAACAGCTCGTCGAGGGCTTGCCTGAGAGGTATCGGTTGGTGTTCGCACCCTCCTACTTGTGGAGCCATAGGCTAAACGACAAGGCGAACACGGGGGTGCCATCTCTCCGACACCTACGGTACCGTATCGTGGAGTGACTGACTGACTGACTTGTTCACTCACCGCATGTGTGAATCTCGCAGCAGATGGGGCAGCAAAGAGATCCATCGCAGAAGAGATCCTCAACACACCTGATGCATCAACACCCCCATCACCGGCAGTATGATCACATCACATCGCCGTCACCACAAAATAGGACATGGGATTACACAGCAGAGACGGAACATAGGCAGACAACAAATTAATTGCCAGGGTTCTCACAAGTCCAGGTATGCATACGAACGCGAACGGATGGGATATCGTATGGACTGAACTACAGTAGTAGTAGTCGTCAGAAAAGGCCGAAAACAGCGGGCTGTGTGCCTCGAATCGTAGTGTTCTACAATACCAGGGACACTTCATGATACATGTGGTGGTCGTTTCGTGTCCTCGTGAGCGAGAAACTTGGAGCGGTGCTCGGATGGCAAACGTGGACATACACAGCGAAAGTGACAGATACCACGTGCATTGGTCGCAGTTTACTTTCGTTTGGTCACTTTCACGTGTGTTCATGTAATATTTTAGATGCTGGGCGTTGTTTTGAAGCAGACGACAAAAAAGAAATCTTCATCGCCTCCCTACGCTGATGCAAATGCACATGCTCTACCAAAAAGTAAAAGTAGTAGACTACTTCATCGTTAGTGAAGAGTAGGTGGGTGAGCGAGCGAGGCTAGCATTCAGCTAGTCTTCGCTCTTTCTCCCGGACAGTGCGTCCGGCTTGACAGCTTGACAATTAATAGTCCACACCACACACAGTGGCACTAGGAGAAATGGGCTTTCTTCCGACTTCGTTCGGCTTGAGGATGGGAGGGAGGGAGGAACATGGCTACGGAATCTACGTTGGGACACTAATTTACAACGGAATTTGTACGACTAGACAAAGACTAGAGTAAATAGAATCGGCGCCATAAGCTCGTCAGAAAAAAAGGCGGCTTGGAGTCAGGCTACACCTACACAGGGAGTCTCTTTTCTATTTCTCGAGTGATAGCATTGGACTGCGAAGAGACGACAAGCCGCCGCTGCTTTGCTCTCTGCCAAGCTGAGCCTTCTGCGACGGTTAGTGAGGTAACAACAACCACAGCAAAGAGTCACAATTACTTGGCGCCCGAGTCCGGAAACGAATTGCTGCTTTCGCTGATACTATTTCAGCGTTGTCGGATCACGACAGTCAAGGGCTAAGTTTGGCAGACATCCTTGGAGACACACCTGTTGGCGCTCCTTGAGAGGCATGCAGTTGAGGAGCACTGGTACTTCAACGACATGAGGCGCGGCAGCCGTAATGCGTACACTCTCCGGCTCAACCTACAGCAGTAGACCTAGCTCTGTCCCTTTCTCTCTCAACCAGTTCAGAGTTTGGAAGCAATGAGTGCGAACCAGTATGACCCGAACTGAGCGTGTGTGTGGGTATAACCTGACGTACCGAAGTTGTGAAAGCTCAATCTAAAGGCAGGAGAACCCACGAGTAACGTCACTCTGGTGGCAAGGGAAGCGGCTGCTGTGAACAGATGAAGCTGCTAACGACAAAAACAGAACAAACCATGACTCACGTTGAGCACACCAGGTGTCCGCAGGGCAGCAGCCTGGGTACAAGGTTGTTGTTTCCTTTGACCTGGTAGTTAAAATACAGATAGCAGTTTGGGCAGCTCGTGAGATCCGCGTCCCCCGCCACCGGCGTCAGGCCTTGGGCCGCGGTGCCCATGGCCCTTGATCCCTGACGCTGCGCCATTTCGCCTCTCCTATCGCTGCTCTGCTTCCCCTTGACCCCTTCCCGATTCCAACAGCAGCAGCAGCAGTGTTCAAAGCAGCTCTTTATAATGTTTTTAGCAGGCGCCCAGCGCAAGCGCAAATTGGTAATGCGCACTCCAAGGGCAGCAGGCCTTGAGCCCCACCACGGCGAAAGGGAGAGGTAGAGAAGGGAAAGGGGATGGTGTACCCAGTCCCTAGACCAACCCCAGAACCGCCTGTTGTGTCGGATGTATGCAAAGGACCACCAACGTATCAACATACATATACACCATGCGCGCGCTATGCCGGTGCACAAACACGCCTCCGAAAAATAAAAAGCGGGGTAAATGTCATGTGAATATGTGCATGCACTTTTACTTTTTGATGAGATACACCCAGCGCGTTTTGACGGCCTTCGTGTAAGGGTTGGTTGGAGAGGGGTTTCGAGGCAGGTGGAATTACAACAATAATCGTCGTGCTGTACAAGATTTGTCCCCTGAAGATCAGAGCCGGTAACAGCAGTGACAATATATAAGACACAACGGAGCTTTTTTTTTTTCTGTACCAGCTGCGGGGTGGCCGACACGACTGCGACATTTAGCACAACAGCCGGGAAACTGCTGTCTGTGTTGGTGCCCGGGCAAACAGCCGCGTCCAAGGAAATCTCGTGAGAAGGCTCAGCCAGGTGAGTTCCCTTCAAGCTTGCACACCTATTGATACTATGTAGTAGGTCAGCAGGGTGATCAATGAAGTTATGTACACCCGTCCGGGCAACCCGTCCGGGTAATTGGATGTGTCTGTGCTTGCGGGGCAATCAATCACACCTTGTCGTCACGCCGGCAACGAGCCGAGCTTGCATTGATCTGCTGCACTCTGCCGTGCCACATCTGCTCAGCTCCCTGTTGTGTGTCTGAAGATATCGGCTACATCACGATTACGCACAGGTTCAAAGCCGGAAAGAAGCAGGATTGCTTGTTGGTGTCTGCGTTAGATATGGTATGTACGACACTCTGTACAACCAGGTGATTCTTGCGTTTGACTCCCCAAGCCCAACGCTCTGAGCGGGGGCATACACTGCTGCTAGGCTGCTGGGTGAGTGATAAGTGATTTTCACACCCAGAACACACACACATGATTGGAGCTGGCTTGAAGCGCTAGCTCCTGCACTCCCACTTGATCCCGACCATGAAAATCTAGCCTTATTTGCCACTCGATTCCAACCCTGAAATTCTACACAGGTGGCCAGTGGGCACGGTTGTACGGGGGCGTTGTGTAACCTCCGGCCAGCGAGGGGTTATTACATGGGATAACGTGGGAGGGTTACAGGCCGAGCGGGCATAACGTGCCGGGTTATGAAAGCGGTTATGCGCGGATTGGCGTGAAGGAGGAGAAAAGAAAAAAATGTGTGTGAGCTTTCCCCTCCCTTCCACACATTGTATTCCACTGCCCGTTGGGTTAATCAAACGATATATCGGCAGACAAGTTTCCCCGTTCGAGATGACTAGCGCAGGAACATCGCACGACGCGAAGGGGATCGAACCAGCAAACTGTGTCATTGAAGTCTAACGGTGTACCGCTACGCTATATGTTGAAGCATATCACGGATGACTCGAGTATTGGGGAGGGCGGGTGTGCCGTAATCCTCAGACCTTTGACCTCGCATCCCTACAAAGCCGGGACGGAGAACGCCGGGTTCTCACCGGACCAGGCTCTCACATCACCAAGCGCGAAGCGCCGTGAGATATTCGGCGAGTCGCATGAAGGGTGCGCTGCATCCTGCTAAGGGTGTTCGGCATCTTGTGCTTTCTTCCTTGCATACGGATGACAGCTGCGTATGACTTAATTTATTTTCTGGTGCTTTAACTCCCAGAGACAGTTGTAGGCACTTTGTTTTTCTCCCATCATTGGACTCTGTCACCTACCCCTCTGGCCCTTATCCTCCACTTCTACCAGCTACACAACCCAACCGGGGTCACATAGGAGGGGGGGGTTGGACCCCCTCCTGCGTTTCCTGCCTGAGATATTTTTCTCGCGAAAAGGGTACAGCAATCCCTTCCCTCGCGACTTAAGAAGTCGATCAAGTTTACTAACAACGAGCTTTGCAGCGCATCGCTTCCAACGGAAACCAGGATATTATTGGCGAGAAAAAACTCACTCGGTCGGGACCCGAACCCATGACCTGGCCCTTAGCAGGCTGCGAGGCTACCCACTAGACCACCGGGGCGACCGGTGTAACTGCCTCGAGGGTGCTTGACCATTTTAACACAACGTGGTGCGATCATCCCCTTTGCGCGGAGTGAGGGTTCTCCACCCCGCACAACATGATCTACTCCACCACCATTATGGTTGCCGCAAAAAAACAACAGAGGTACAAAAGAACACGGTAACCTGGTTGCCGAGTTCACGAAATCAATTGGCTTGTTTTACAACT